GGGTGTTTTTTTTGGTTTTTTTGGGGGTTGGGGGGTTTTATTTTTTTTTTTTTTTTTGGGTTTTGGGGGTTTTGGGGGGGGGGGGGGGGGGGGGGGGGGGCAGGGATAAAGGTTAGGCAACACACACTTCGTAGGGGTGACGGGAAACAAATTATAGCAGAAATAATAATAAAAACGAGGTCGACACAGTCGGGTGCACAAGCGCTGCTTTTTCCCGGGGGGGTTGTTAGCTCGAAACGCTCTTTCTATCGACAGCGGCAGTATGCCAGCGCATGCACCCCGTGCGAATCTTTTGAGGTACCCTCGAAACGCGTGGATTTTCAAGGTCGCGCAAAGCAAATCCCTACGTCTACGAAGTACGTACGAATACCAGAGAGGCCTGGTTCGCGAGGACGAAGACAAAAACTAACCTCTCCGTTGACCGAGCACAGCGGACAGCAGTGAACCTTGGTCGCGTTGCAGTTGGTGGCATCCAACACAAACTTTTTCATTTCTGTGCGACCTCAGATTGAAGCTCCTCAGGAGAGCAACAGCCAACAAGACAGCTACGGCACTGTGGCAACAACGGCAACAGATGACTGGGCGATTACAACAACCAAAATAGCCCGCCAGCTTCGCCCCAACTCTCTTTGACACCTGCCAACCCCAACCCCCCCGCCATACGGCTACCATGCAAAACAAAACAATCGGGCAGCGATTTATCGTTGCATCAGCTACCATTGCGATTGCTGCGACTATAGCCACGGCTGTGTGATGCCCCCTGCCTGTACGTGCGGGCTCCCCCCCCCACGGCGCACCTCTCCTGGACTCCCGATGCTGCCGACTTTTCCGCCTCGGACGCAGGCGGTGCGGGGGGCTTCGCCGTGCTACTGCTGCCGCCGCCGCCGCTAAGGTGCGCGAAGACCTTGCCCTTCTTGGCCTTTTCCTTCTCGTCCCTCTCCTCGGCAATCTTCGCCTCCTTCGCGGCCTTTTCCTTGGCTTCTTGCTCGAAGATGAGCTTGTCCGCGGCGTCGCGAGGCACCTTTAATTGACAACAAGTGGGGAAAACAGGGTTTGTGGGCGTTTGTAAACCGAAACTCGTTTTACCTTTTTATCGACATGGCAAACAGCGAGGACAGGGATGCGGTCAAGTTCAAAATGCGGTCATATTCATAATCTCTACTGTTGTATGCGTGTCTGAACAGCTAGGAAGGCGTGTACTAACTGGCTTCTACAGTGAGCGTGAAATCGCTGACATTCAAAGTGCAGATCCCATCAAAAAGAAAACAAGACACGAAAAATGACCACGGCTCTACATGCGCAAGCGCGCAAGAAACTAGGGTAAAACAACAACACAAGACATACAGTTGAGGGGACAAAAAACAACAAAAAAAACATGACATAACAGATGAAAGCTCGACCGGCAATCGTTGAAAACAAAGCCTACAATAGCCTGTTTCCCGCGGAAGACCATCACGGCGAGCTCGATGACCCGATCGCTGCCACTCTTCGAAGGGGACCGCTGCAAGGAACAGCGCCATAGAAGCTTGGGCAATAAACTCAGGGCCGAAACCTTGCAACACGACGTGTTGTCCACACAACACTCCGATGCACGGAGCACCGTTCCTTTTCCTCCAGCAGGGGAGTGCAGCAGTATTGTAGTCAACGGTACGGCCAAGATGCAAGCTGAAAAAGCAGCCTGCCCCCCTTCACCTTGAGGATGGACTGAAGAGATGGCGAGCAGAACTCAAACATGTCCAGCGTGGAAGGGAACGTAACCTGACAACGACAACATCGACACGCCAGAGAAAAGCGAGACACCCGGCAAAAAGGAGCAGCGGGCGGGCCAGCGGCACCAAACAGTGAGCCAGCCGTGTGACAAAAAACTACGACAGAGCGACGGACGGCGAATCGATGCCAAGGGGGACACGCCCGCAAAGGGCCTTCCCTCTGAGGACGACAAGGGTGATCCTGATCCGAGGTGAAACAGTTTTTTGGGGCACTAGAGGACAAAAACGAGGATAAAATCACGAAGATGGATCATGGAGGCGAGACAGACTCGGAGGGGCTTAGGGCGGTGTAGCAGTAGTGGAGATTCTGTCAACGAGGAACGCAGAAGATGCCACCGGGCCAAAGCACAGGGCCGTGTCTTGTGGAAAGCTTTCCCCCCGCAACTGGTCCTGCATTTCGTGTGCATTCCCCTGTGGTGCGTACGACTTGGGCGGCCAAAACCCTCACTACAACCCCCGGGGGGTCACCATCAAAGTGCGTATGCTTACCACAGGGCATTCATGGACAAGCTCAATTGAAAGGACGGCCGGATTGCTGCAGCGGACGTGCAGCAGCAGCTACCCTCACACCAAATAGCTGACACAGCAGTAGGGTCGGTCTACCGCCTGCTGATACTCACTGGCCGCATGATCTTGCACTTCACACCCTGGTGGTCCATGCTGTCCGGGGTAGCCTTCCAGAAAAAGCGGAGAACCTAAAAAGACAAAAAAAAAAAAAAAACACCAAACGAAACGCTCCATAAGCGACGCGCACACAACACACACACGTGTCGAGTTCCCACAAAGAGCTCACCAAAAACTACTACGAAAAATCGGATGAAACGCAACGGCGGTTGTTTGTGGAGACGCGCGGCTCTGCCTACGGAGGAAGGACACAAGCATGATCCCAAAACAATCTTTCTCCACATCAGCACTACGACTATTACCATGCTTGAATCCGTTGCACCGTGGTGGGGGGGCATCGACTTCAGGGGGCGACGCACGTTCGGCAAGGCTGCGCCAACAAGTGCCGACGTATTCGGTATCGACCCAGACGACCCATAAAACAGACACCACCAACAGAGTACATAAACTTGTGTCGGTTGATACCGAATCTCCTGAGCCCGCCACCAAGATTGAAGGCTTTCTTGCCTTTCACGGCGCAAGGTCGTCCGAAAAGTTACACATTTTTTCCAACGCCAACAAACACCATACCAAACCGTGGGTTCCTGCTTACTAAAAGAACTCGCATCGCTCAAGAATGACGTGTCATGCGTCGTCGGCCGAATCGCGCCGGCGATGCCTATCAAACGCACAACACAAGAAGCACACGCTGCTGCCGCACGCGTTTCCCTTTCATTTCACCTGGATGCACAGGTAGCGTGGCAGGCGTTTGATCTTGCTGTTGAGGGTGAACACCGCATCTCTCCCAAGCTTGTCCGAATGCTTCTCCACCTTATCCGAGAGGCCCACCTTCATCCCGTCCGCTAGATGGTTGATCTGCAAAAAAAAAAAGGGCCTTAAATGTAGTATTGCAACATTCCGCCCAAGACAAATGTCCACTCCAGCCAGCCGTATTCCTAGTTTTTGTCACTCCATTTAGTATTAGCATCGCACCCAAGATAAATCTCGATTCCAGCCGTCTTCATACGATACTGCTGCTGCTGCTGTTGTTGCTGCAAGAGCTCCACTTTTCGTTTTCTGCCTTTGTTCTACATGTAGTCTAGGCTGAAGCGTTGCTGTAGTCGTTCTTAACAAGTACTGTAGGCTGGTATTTACCATTACAATCATCTCTTCTCTTCGTGTGTGTTTTTCACGTTTTCGACATCATCTAACTTGATGTGGTGTGATGTGATGGGGATGTCGACGAAACGGCTGCTGTTGGGCAAATATTGATTTTCGCAATACACCCAGCCCTTCTGCTACCTTCCCTTAGCGCCTTCCGCTTCTATCGCTACCCGTTGAGTGCGATCGCGGACGGTCGCGCCTACACCCGTACACCCACCCCTCTTTCCGGGTCCCATTGCAAATCTTGGTCTAAACAGGAAGTACACTCCCTCTCTCTCTTGCCCTGTCGTTTCCCGCCACACACACACACCTCCCACACGCTTCCTCCCACCCATCTCATGTGTACAATACGCGTACGCACGCACTCACACACACACACACAAACACAAGACACACCAGACACACACCAGTGACTCTACAAAGGAAGCCACAGCCGTGCCTCGGCTAGCTGTGGTGGTCGGCAAGTCAAGTTGCTCAAAAAGGCAAGCAACGAATGAATGCGTAAGACAGCACCCCCCCCCCCCCCCTCTCTCACCTGGGTGGTGGGGCCTGGACCTCCCTGGATATTAAACACCAACTTTTTGGGGGTGGAAGGGGAAACCTTGGAATCCCCGCTCTCCTCCCAAGTGAAATCCTCCTCCATTTCCCGCCCAAAAAGGGGGTCCATTACGTTTTCGGGGTGGCCCAAGTCCGTCAAGGGGTGGACCTGTGTGCGTGTGTTTTTTTAATATTGGCGTCAGCGTAAAACGGGTTAAAATAACCGCCTGAACGATGGAAAAAAAAAAGTCCGTCTTGTAACGGGAAAAAAAACACGAAAAATTTTTAATCCAATGTTAATGGGGTGTGTTTGTTTAAAAATAATAACATCCACTGGGCTAACTGGCTGAATAAATGAAAAGACGACAGTCTTCTACACAGCGGGATGAAATACACACCTTGGAGATGCGCTGTCCAGTTGTGTTCTTCTCCTTGGCGTCCTTTCCCTCAGGAAGGATGGTGTAGTGCGCCCCCTCCGAGTCCGGGTGTACCTTGATCACCTTGGCCCTTCCCTCCTTCTCGCCCTCCGCCTTCGGCTTGTACAGGACCGTGTCGCCCTCTTTGATCGCGGTAGAGGTCGGCTGGGAATATTTGAAAAGAGCATCGCCGAAAGAAGACGGGAAACGGATTCATCGCTTCATCGCTGGGGTTTGTACGGCGGGTACACACGTATCAAAAGGACAGCGCAAGCACTCTCTACCTCGCTCGAGACAAAAAAAAAATGGCACGGGCCAAAGGACCGGATGACGATGGTTTGATCGCAGACAAGGGCCACACCACCATCACCGCCACCATCACCCCCATCAATAACAGCAGCGACGGATTCGACGAAACCGCACCTTCTTGAGGCTCTGCGAGAGGGTGTTGACGACTGAGCTGTACAGCTCCTCCGCGTCCTGCTGCATGAACCCACCACGGGGCCCCTGCTGCGCGAACTGGGGGAACAGCTGCCGCAGCACCTGCGCACGCAAAAAAGTGACAGCAATTGTCCCCAAAAAAAGGTTGGTGGGCGGCAGCCGTGGGGCTAGCTGAAATTGTTGGAGTGTATGCATATGCGGATGTCATTAGCAGTCTTAACTCCTTACCGGCACAAAAAAAACATGCCAGCACAAGCAGCTGGATACGCATGCACCACGTACTTGGTCGGAGTGGGATCAAAACTGGAAACACAACCTAAATTTTTCGCCGAAAATCGGGTGTCCAACACCATGGAGGAGGGCCTCCCAGGGCTCCAGCAAGCGGCGAGACGCCCAAACAACAATACAAGCTCAGCATTCTCCAACGCGTTAGGAAATGTCTCCACCACACAAGAGCAAGTGGTGCTCAACCCGACAGCCCAGCGAGGCCGAGCTATAATACATAGCTCCTGCAGCTCAAGCGCTCCCACCCCGTGAAAGCACACACCATCGTGGCGATGCTAGCTCGGTGGTGCAAGCCGGCTTTTTGTTGCGTACCATCGTAGCGGCCAGCCACTTTTGTAACTGTCGTCTACAGAGAGCACAAACGCGGCGCAAACATTCGATCACCTGCACAAACATCGCCGGGGGAATGGCCTCCGTGGATCGGTCCGCGGCGTTGAAGGTCTCTCTCAAGGAGGCCGTGAACATCGGTACCAGGTTGGCGCTGGGGTCGGCGCCGCTGCCGCTTGAGGTGGGGCGGAAGCTCGTCAGAGCCTCCCGCAACTCGGGCACCTTTTCGCAGGAAAAGTCCCAAAGGCGGTGGTGAGGAAAAACGACATCGAAATAAAAAGGACAACGACAACAAAGCCAAAGGCACCATTATACCACAACGACGAAAACCAGATGAAAAGGCAACATTGGGTGGGTACAACACCACCAAAGCCAACTCATAAAAGCCCCTAAATAAAAAAACAAGGAACACGAATTGAGGAACGCGAATGAGGAACAGCGCAGCATCTAGCACCTCACTAAGATTATCAAGCGGGGACATCGAGCAAGTCGAGCCTCCGTGCGAAAACCTAGAGAAGGGGCTTGGCAGCAACAATTCACGCCGGATCCCTTCAAGGATGCCCTACAGAAGGACATGTACCTTGCGCATGCACTGCAGAGTGGAGTTCATGTAGCACGTGTTGCCCAAGTTCACCAAGCCTGCGGGGAGCACGGCACCGCTCTGAGCCAGGTCCTGCCACAACGAGCAAAACAAAAACGGCAAGAAAAACAGCCACAAAAAAAAGGTGTGCCCGTGTGATACAGCCGATGTAACACCAGTCACATCCTTTTGGATTCGAATCATCCCCCTGGGACACATACGTACAACAGGCTTGTTTCTGTTGGCTGTAAGCAAGTGATTCCGAACCGAAATATTGGCTCTTGTTCTCTCTGTTTTTGTGGGGCGAACACGCAAACCTACCTCGGTCTTCATGTCCTCCATGAACTGGACCTTCTCCGTCGGCGCCGCCAAAACTTCCGCGGTGCCCATGAGCGTCACCTGCTTGGCGGAAAACACACAAGCGTTGCATTCCGTCAAAAACAAAATAACAACTTGAGAGGCGTAATTATTCCATTCTCCAACCATCACCAGCAGCAGCAGCAGCAGCAGCAGCAGCAGCAAAACAGCCGTAGAACAGGAGGAGCGTGAAAACGTCCGCCGGGTTGGCGAACGCAATCATGCGCGACCGCTGTGGTGCTTCCAAACGGGTGGCGGCGTTCTGCTGCCACACACCTGCTGACCGTCCTTGATGGTGCAACCGGAGAGGTCGACGTCATCCTTCAAGATGCCCTTCCACGCACCCCTGGCCATGAGCTTTTGCCGGGCTGCTGGTACTCCCTACGGAAAGCACGAGGGCCCGGCGAAGGAAACGAAACAGAGTGTGCAATATAACTCTCGTAAACCGGACGGTTGGTGGATGCGTCCACGTGCTGCTTGTAGCAGAGGTCGGTGACAAACAAGCAATTTATGCACCTTGAATTTTAGCAACAGCAAGGGTTTGTCTGTTACCGGCAAAGGCCTCTCTGCATGGAAACCGGCTGGCGTCCCGCGTGTAGAGTGACAGCAGACGACGTCCGTGCCGGCTGAAAAAACGATACGGCGGATGATAGACCACCCATTGTACGAAGATGCTGCATGGACACAAAAAAGGGTTCATCTTTACCAGTATTGTCCGTGCTTTCTTCTGCCGTGCTGCCGACAGGACAGCAAGATCGCATGCAATCAAGAGACTCCCATCCGAATACCGTTGGTGCTGAGCTTGTGCTACCTTAAATTAGGGGCCCTGCTTCCTGCATGGGTCCGCTTCAATCACTGCAAGCGTCGCGGCCAAGTGTTGAACTTCTGGGCATTCAGAATGCACCATTTTTTCCCGTCCGATCAACGCAGACATACACCGCCCGTTGCCGATGATGCACCGAAAGTCGAAGCGAAATCCAGAGCGGACTAGAAGTAAGGCTTCATTAGTCCAACGTCCACATTTTTTCCAGCCCGGTTCTTCGACGAGCAGACTAAATACGGTAGGGAACAGCACTGGCGAATCTCCATATCGATTTCGTACTTGTTTCGACTACAGCAGTACTCCATGTTTAAGTCTACAGAGTTCCCGAGTGCGTGGTCTGGATCAAGACTACCAGTATTGCCGTGGGTGCGAAAAGGGTCGGGATTATGTAGTGGGGATTGCTCATGATTGCCCACACAGCAGAACCCGTAACCCCCCAAAATTGACGGCGATCAACGTAAGCACTACCCACTTGGTTGGCGATGAAGTTATGTAGTGTATGTACGAGACTTGGAACTGCTGTGGTAAGTATCTTCACGTATGGTACAGCAGTCAACGGCCGGCAACGAGCTTGGTCGGGTGTTGGCGTGCGACAGCAGAGAGACGGTGGTTGGTGGACCCAACACGTAAGATTGTGACAAAAATATATTGCTGTTGAGAGCCACCGCATGCTTGAAGGACGGTGAGCAGCTAACGCTGCGGAAGCAAATGAGCTGCGACGCGTTCAGTGCACTGATCTGCAGGAGAGGCCCCAAAAGGCACGACCGAGGGGTTGCTGCAGCAGCAACAGCAGTAGAAGTCCCCGCGATTGGTGTGACACCTTCCCAACAGCAACTTAGATGCGTTGATGCCTTTCGATGAAAACGTTCAACACAAGCAATGCGTACCATCCGCAGTCGCAAGATAGAGCTGAGGTGTGTCGCCGGGGGCTTCTAGTGCACGTCATGCTGCTGTCGTAACAGTAACAGCAGAACAGCAGCAGTGCCAACGAGTACCGGCGTGTGGAAATGCAAATCAGACAACGAGTGAGAGTCGCCGTTTGTTCCTGCTGCTGTGTCGGTCCTCTTGCTGATTATCTCACCGTGAGCTCTTGCAACTTCGCCTTGAAGTCGGCCACGGTAGGCGTCACCTCCACATCAGCAAACACCCTCTTGTTCCACTTGACTGCTACCTTCACCATGGCTCTAGATTCACGTCTGCGGTTTGCTCTGGATTGTGCTGCTGGGCTGTGGGTGCTCTCCCGATTTCGAGGGGCGGCAGCTGAGAATATTAAGTGTTGCCGAGGTATACTTTAGATCGGTATTATTATTCTGCGTACCCCCTCCCCATCCAGCACACCCGCACACACCTCTCCTTTCCTGTCTCCCTCCACGCACGCACAGAAGAGAGACTAGAACGACTACCACGACACATAGAGGAAGCAACATGGAGTTTCACGACGTCGGTGTACACTGCGCGGCAGAAATGTGCGGGCAACAAGGTGCGACAAGTTGCATTACGATCGTGTGACGATTTACACGAACTCTGCTTTCTCCCGCGATTCCTGCCGCTGAAATTCCCAAATTGCTCCTGTCGCAGCCTCTGTAGCCCACCGCGCTAACCTGCGTATCTCAGCCCACGCCTTGGGGTTCATGTAAAGCCTATGGAATTGCTCCTGTGCTCTAGGCTTCCGGTACTCGTCTCAATTGCTCGAGACCAGAGCTTCGTGACAACAGCAAAGTAGTTGACAGGACTGTTGACGGCATTTTAGAGTTCTTGAGAGCGGGGCGACGATAGCAGCGAGGTAGAGAGCGAGCGAGAGCGCTCTTGATGAGCACCAGAAAGGTGCTGGGTGCCCTACGACACCATCTCGTTATTGAGAAGAAAAAAACGAGGAGATACACAATAGGCTACAGTAGGTCTAAGCTCTTCCTGGTGGAATTCTGTAGACTACTGCTGGTGTACTTGTAGTATATGGATACGGCAATAATACTGCTTAGACTACATAGTCTAGGCCTGAAGTACGTGGCACGCGTACGTTACACAGCCTCGAAAAACAGGTACTTTTCTGACGCTATGAATCCATTGCTAATCTGTCTCAGACTCTTTTCTATGATGGAGATGGTTTCGTGGTGTCATATTAAGAAGAAAAAAAAAAATGTGGCATAAATAGTGCAGTCGTTTCGACACAAGCTGTATGCTACCACGCTACTTGCGCCCAGAGTGTCCTTCGCATCTCCCTATTGTTTTGACGCACAAACAAGTCCTTACCCATACATGCCCTCTCCGTGTGATGAAACTTGCAGATTTTTTGCCGTTCACCTGCGACGCGTGTGGCAAGGTCTTTTGCCTTGATCACCGCACTCACGCGGGTCACAACTGTACCAACGCCAACGCCAAAGATGTGAGAGGAGGAGAGAGATATAACTATTGAGAGAGTAGCGAAATAGCCAGAGTTAAAAAGTTATTTTCTACGTTGTTTGTTGATCAGCATGTACCCACAGGGTATCAGCTTGCACGCCGCGCTTGCTTGAGCAATGACGGATCCTTGGGGTGAACACCAGGTCAAGTCGACCGAGCTTTCTTTGCGCGTCGCACGAGCCCTGCTTTGATGAGTTTTTCAGTGTCAGTCGTCGGGTAGATTTTTCAGTGTCAGTCCTTCTGTTCATACTACCCCGGATCGGGATTGCGCAGATGCGTCCAGTGTTTAGACTAAATAAACCCTCGTGCGGCGGAATAGACGCGATGTTGAAAACGGAGGATCGTGTATCCATAATCTACGCCGTCCTGCTCATGTTTTTATGCGATCGTAGAGTACAGGCCCAAACGAAACTGAACAGCGAAGTCACCTTAGCAGCATACCAAAGTGAACTATTATATTCTTATTCTTCCCTATCTCGCTCGCCGCCCATTCTATTGTCTGCTTTGTGCGCGCTCCCCGTCTTTCCTTCCGTCTTACTCGCTGGCACAAAAAAAAAAAACAGAAACGTGTCCTCGAGTGCTCCAAGTGCAACAAAGTTCTCCAGAGGCCGGCCGGGGTGGAACACGCCCTCCTGCTCGAGAGGCACCTAGCTTCCGGCTGCGTGGATGGCGTCCGAAAAGCGAGGCCGAACAAGATACGCTGCTCCGTGCAAGGCTGTCGACGCTCGGAGTTCGTGAAGGTGAACTTGCCTTTACCTGATTGATGTGCAGAAAGAAGAGCGGTTCGTTTCGGGAGAAGCGTGGACACAAGCAACAAGCTCTGCTTTGAAGCAATAGTTGCGAAAAGAGCTACCTGAGTGTGTGTGTGGGGGGGGGGGGCGTACTCATGTTCTGCATGCCTTAGCGGTTAGACGATTGACCACACATCCTCTAGAAGACGGAGCATTGTTCCCACAGGACCGCTACCTGAGTGTGGGGCGGGCAAAGTAAGAGCGCTCTGTGCGTGAACTCCTTTCGCGTGTGGTCAATTTGGTGTGTGCCTTTCCCTTGTGAGTCTTGGTATTTTTCTGTCCCAGCCAGACATCAACACGCTTTGTGTATCAGCAGAATCCACACCATCGAGCCCTCTGCACCACGTACACTCCCAGCTAGCCCAATTCTCATTACGTCGTCTACGTACTCTGTAGCATTTTAAAAGCCGAACACGCCCACCCGCGCAACCACATTCCAATATTTTGCACACGCACACTTCCCTCTTTCATTAACATGCAACCCCCTTTATGCTGCCAGGTGTCCTGCGGAAGCTGCCGAAGAAATTTCTGCTTCAAGCACCGGCACGAGGATGACCACAAGTGCGAGGCAATCGCGGAGGCGACGAAGCGAGAACACCCCCACCTGCAAAAGAGGGGCCTTGGCGGGACGGGAGGGCCCAAGCCTAAACCCAGTGATAGCAGGCCCTCGGGCGGCAAAGAAGCGGCGGGGGGGCGCAGGCCGTGCGGCGTGGCGGCCGCAGAGGCGGCGGCGAGGCGAGAGAGGGAAGCCGCGGCCCGGAGGGGGGCGGGGACTGGCTCCGGCATCGCCGCGCGTTGACCCCCTCTCGCTCAGTATCTCCCGTGCGGACGGCCCTGTTGTTTTGGGCGGCAAGTGTGTCGGGAATGTGTGTAAAAGAGGCGACCGAGTTGCCGCACGGCGTTGTATGAAATGTGATCTGTGCGTCGGCGTTCGCGTCGAAGCGTCGGCTATGATTGTGTGTAGCCATCTCTTAGATTGTACAAGCCAAGGGCGTAGGTGGCTTGGCCGGAGAATTCCAGTACCAAAGGAAGTAAGGGGGAAGGTTACCGGTTCAATGGGCTATGTGGCCACGGATTTCAATCGCTATCTTCCATGCGAAAGCGCCAACACTTGAGAAGCTCTTCTTCTGCCCTGGCCCCGTTTCTTATGTCCTGAGTAGGGTAGCCTCCCAGCGACTATTTGATATTTGGTTTAAACATAGTGCATGATTCTTGGCTGGACTTGTGGTCTTCTGGTCGTTTCTTGAGTTTCTCTATTGTTGAGCCTGAAGTTCTTTGACTCCCTCCCGGGTTCTCGAGTGGTGGTGCGTTGTTTGCACATCACGCGTGGTGTATGTTTTCACTTACTAGACTGTAGACTGCATATGCATAGATGTGTATTGAGTTTTGAGTTAAACTTGAGAGTGACAGCAGGTAGTTGCCATGCATTTTGACGTGGCTGCGTTGGAGGTGATGCCGCACATGGGTATGGCTGGGGATCAAACGTCGTGTCCTGTCCGGTTCATCATCTGGATATTTCGTCCAGGACGAGGCCTGCATCGATGTAGGTTTATTTCGACAGAAACGACCGGCGAAAAATCCAAGAATGCGACGCTCTTCGCCGTCCGAGAGATTTGGGTTTTCGCAGCCAAAAATAACAATCCAGTTCAGGTGTGTGACCCTTCGATTTCAGCTCGTGCAAAGAAAAATAATGGAACAGCTGCCCCCTACAGTAGAGCTGCGTGACGTTCAGCAACGAAACCATGCTCATGAGATGTAAATGCTACGACGACACCATTTTCTTTCTATTACATCAGTTCGATTCATCACTCTATAGACCCTCGGGGCCAGTTTATTTGAGTGTACCTTTTTTAGGGTAAGTTAGCCTGTGACCACAGGAATCGACCGCGTCAAGTGTTAGATCAGTACGGGCATATGAAGGTACTGGGTAGAGAGAGATCGGAACGGTTTTTAATGTGAAGACAACAACAACAACAAACAAGACTGCGCCGCGCAAAGTTCATGGCTTTCATCGAATTAATGAATTTATTAACCTCGAGACCCCCGAAGGTATATAAAAGCGGGCATGTTACCCATAATAGAGGGAGGGAGTGTCGAGACTTCCTGTGAAATCTAGTCCTGCTCATTTGTGTAAAGATCAAGACAAAATAAAGAGGGATGAGGCAGGAGGCAGGAGGCAGGATCATGTTTTTTGCGGGGGGACTTTCGACAAAGTGGGATCCCCCCGCACGCCAAACAATGATTCACTGTGCCTCCGCTCCAATCCGAGTGCTACACACGCATCGGCACGCACTTTACGAGCTTCCTGCTCTCCTTTATCTGCATATCTCTCTCTTTCTCTTCTGTGTCCTACGGTGAGATCCTCCCTATGAAGGGGTCTGTGGCTCTCCTGGCCGGCGCCCTACCCGCTCTGTTCTCGCGCCCTCAAGAGATCACTACTCGAACACCGACATGTGCCGGGGGCCCTGCTGCAACCGCTGCTGCTGTGGCCGCGTCAGTAGCATGGGCTTCGAGACCGACTCCGTTTGCTGCTCGCCGCAGGCATACAGGGACGCGAACAAGCAGCAGTGCGCCACACCGTGCGCGTCCAGCGTCCGCCCGCTGCCGGCAAAAGCGTCGCGCCACCGGCGCTGAGCCCGTCCGCTTCGGCAGCAGCAGTCTGGCCGAGGGTCCGGCTTGGGCTTCCGAGACGTCTTCTGGCGGCGGCGGCGGCGGCGGCGGCGGCGGCAACAGCGCAGCAGCTGGCCTGGATCGCGAGCCGGCAGCTACTCGAGGTGGGCGTATTGGCGGCGGCGGAATTGGCCTGTCGGCTGCTGGAAGCGGCAGTGACGATGCCGCCGTTGACGCGTTTGTTTCTTCCGCCGTACCGACAGCTGTCGACGAGGGCGAGTTGACGTGCGGGATGCTGGAGGGCGTGGTTTCTCGAGAGGCTGCGCTGAATGGGCAGGAGATGGTCCTCAGGGTGGCCAAACTAGATGACTATTTCGCGATCGCAGGTGAGTGCCAAGTGTGTGGCGCTTTTCTTCGACCACAACGACAGCACACCAGAACAACACACTACCGTTTTTCAAATGCAACATGTGCACGCAGACAGGTGATTGATTTTCAAACGTTTAAAAAATGGACCGAACAACCGCGGCCGCCCGACCGTGTACTAGGAGCGGAAAAACTGCCGCGTGTATGTATCTTTGGAGACATAAATACAAACACAGAATATATACAAACACAGAAAGACTACCCATTCGAGATAAGACCACAGCAGTCGAACGGGATGTGTTGAAGTCACAGTGAATGGAGGGAAACCGGATGGGTTTGGGCTTATTTGGAGTATCTTCAAGCAAGCGTACATAGTTGAACATGAGCACCGCCGTGTTGGTACTAATAAACTTCTGGGATATGCGCACACCAGCAGTAGTGGCCCAGCACCTATGCAACTATGACTCCACTACTCTGGTACCATGTTTTATGTTTTTGTATGTAAGACTACATAATCGGAGACAGCAGCAGGCCCCCGCAAATACCGAAATATCAGGTCTTGCCGAGGTAGAGCTGAAGTGTGAAGAAAACTTGCGCGCTTGTCTCGTCGATTTTGACTCTGCTGCAGTCAATCTGCTGCAGTCAAACGGAATGAACAGTCGTCGGTCAGTCACGTGCCCAATCTATTGTGATGACAGCAGAAATTATTGATGCAAAGGCAACCAAGTTCTTTGTTAGTCGATGGACGTGTCGAACTGCTCTGATGCCCAGCAGTGTGTGGTTGTTCTTGTTGCATGATTCGCCGCATCTACAGCAGCACTGCTGTACGTCTGTCTCTCGATTTCCGGCGTCGTCTTTACGGTGACTTGGAAGCAAAAGGCTACATTTAGACCGCCGGGTTGTATATGTTCTATATAGAAAAGATCATAAAATTAAACATTTCAGGATTACTCACTCAACGAAGACGGGACTGGGCGATGTCTTGATTTGATTGGTATAGAACAGTGTATGGTAGTCATCCTCTGCATACCGGTATGTTTGGTTTCCCGCCCACGTCATCATCCGTTCATTTGAGGCATCCGAAGCATCCCTCAGAATCTCATCTCGGTAGCCGACCATTCTCTGATGTTTACGTTGTGTTCCCACAAAGCTCACATCGCTGGACAGCGGAGCGCACCCTCTACTTTTTGATGACGTATGCGTCACTATGGCACCGAGTACATCACCACCAGCACAAGCCGCAACGCTCGTGCTAAATTTTGCTTTGTTGGAACAGATCCGCATGTCTAGTTTGCCACACGCACGACCTCAAATACATGCCTGTGATCCTCTCACATGTAAGAATATCATACGATGTTCCGTTATATGCGCTACACGTGTACATGGCACACCCAGCTGGCCCCCTCCTGCGATTGGTGCTGGCACCATTCTTGTTGGCGCCTGTACGACTCTGTTCAAACGTACCCTTGCCGCCAACGTCGGTAACGTTTGGACTGTGTAGCATCAGACCGCTCTTGATGCGGTGCGCACGGCTGCAACAAATTTTGGATTCCGCTTGGTTCCGATGCAGATTACGGACTTTCTTGCCAGGGACTGCTGCGACCTTCGATATTTCAGCTCCAGTACAATAGCAAACCTGAACGTGCCAGCACGCACTCCGCCTCTCCATGGTGTCCTAGTAGTAAACCAAAACTAGGTAACCCTAACCCGAAGGTTGTTTTCTGTTTTTATGTTGGATTAAAAGTATTAGAAAGAGCCAGCGTCAAAACCCTTTGTCTGGACCCCCTTAACACCTGCTGCCATTCGTCGACGTAGATCCCATATGTACGTAGCTCATCACCCCCCCCCCCCCACCCCCCCTTACTTTTTATGGTTTTTTTCCCCAACTTAAAATAAAAGTATTCCCCCCCGGGCCCCTT